GGCGTCTGAATCAATTTGGTATGGCAGTTTTAGTTTGGTGCGGCAAAAGCGTTAAGTTCGACAGGGTCTGTCGAACTTTTGTCGAACTTAACTTAGGTTCGACACACGGTACGCCGTCTGAATCAGATGTCGCGCCAGTGTCGCTCCAAAGTCGAACTTATTCAGTTAGGTTCGGCACATGAAAAGTACGGCGTCTGAACTAGGCCTTACTTTCTCATGTCTTTTAATAGCAAGGCGACAAACGGCAAATTTGCAGATTAGGATGGCTTCCAAAGTTTTCGTTTTTAGCTTGAAATTCTCAAGTAGGGCCGATATCTTGCAGCTGACTCCACTTTCATGAAAATGTGGCTTTCCGCATTTCTAAAATACCCACTAAACGGTTACCACTCGCTAATGGTAGGGCATTACTTTTCAGTTTTTAAGCACAGTGAACTGAGATGAAATTAGTAGAAAGAGCTTTTCAACAAGTTAACAGTGGAGCATCGGCCCAGCCTTGTTTGTCATGATGCCATATGGTATGACTCAGCCAAACAAGCTATTCTAATTAAGGCAATTTTCAGTCCAACCTCGCCGTCAATAATAGCTTCGATGTGCGTGGACGCGAGCTAACACCGAGCCGAGATAAGCTTTTTACGGCAAGGTATAACGGATTGGCGAAAGCTATCCAGAAAAATATTTTAATTTGATCTCAAAATTTCCACTTTCTGTTTTAGATAGCTTTTGTGTGACCGTTAATTTCGTGTTTGCCGCAAATCTCGGATTTTCGAGCAACGTGCTGTTGTCTCTGCGCGTATTTGTGCATAATTTCGCCACTCCTTGTTCTGAGATCAAAACTTACCTGACACTTGCTTCCAAATCCTTATAACGTTTTTATCCCTATCCAAACGTGGAGAAGAAAATAGCTCACGAAGTAGGATTGCCGGAGTAACACAGTTAATTTCGCTGCGACATTTCCGTATGGTTTTAATGAACGGTCGCGAGGCAAAAGTCTATCTGAAGCTTCTTTCTGGGAAGGCTACCCATTTCTCCCGACTATTGGTCACAAATAGACACGTGACAGGTTTCCAGTCCCCAATATGAGTGTGTACATGTATCTGTAAACAAACGCTGTGACCGTGCATCATGTGTCGTTGGCGTATGTGGCTGGTTTCGAAATATTGTAAAGCGTCTACCTTCGTATTTTTATCTTTTCTACTCATACTGATTTGTAGCTTTATGGTTTATTCATTTTCCCCTTACGTGCTTATCAGCGATAGAATTCCTAAACCCGACGAAAGGCTCGGGAATTTGAAGGAAGGTGAAAATGCTACCATTGAAGCTAGCAACTGCTCGGAAACTACGGATATATTGCCAGATTTCATCGAGTGCATAAGGGGAACATTGCTCTACTCTGCGTGGTTTGATGATCGACACGCTCAAAATTATATCCAGGTATTGTTAATGACTTCACGTAGGAACCAACCACCGCCTCTCTTATGTCGTTTCCAAAATGGGCCAACTTCTACTATCTCTGTAGGGGCTGTTGCTCCGTATTATGAAATCAACAAACGATACAGCAACAAACGTTATGGTCTCTTCGTGGCGTCCTGCATTCTTTCGAAAGATTTGGTCGGCATACCGAATTTTGTGAACATCTCGATAGCTAACGAATGTACGGTTGTGTTACCTGTGGGAAACACAAGAAACACATCTTACAAGAGAGATTACGGAATTTGCATTCCTCCGATGTTTGGAAATATTCGAGTCGCCGAGGTAGTCGAGTTTCTGGAAATGTCGCAACTTTTAGGAGCGTCATATTTTACGTTTTATGACTACAGTATCTCTGACAGCGTGAGGAAAATGCTTAGTTACTACGAAAGAAAAGGGGTAGCAGAAGTTCTTCCTTGGACTTTACCCACCTATATCACAGACCAAGATGTCCATTACTATGGGCAAATTTTTGCCATGCAAGACTGTTTGTTCCGATCAATAAATCGTCTCAACTTCGTTGCGTTCAACGATTTAGACGAGTTTATAACCCCGCTTCAGGATGAAAGCATGCCTTCTCTACTTTACAGTATCCACAACTCTAACTATTGCGGCCACTGTTTTTCAAGCGCACGATTTCCCACTGTAGATAGCTTGACTCAAAACTATTCTCTTTTCACTCAAAACGTTCTACGTCGTTCACCTAAAGCTGATTCGTCACACACCAAATGCGTTGATGATCCACAAAGAGTGTTTGAACATGGAGTACATCTTATCATGCAACCATTCGAAGGCTACAAAACTAACCATGTGAACTGGAACAAAGCTAGAGTTTTCCATTACAGAAAATGTCAACCTCCATGTAACTCGGGCGCTGATATGGCAGTAGATACAACCATGCATAAATACGGCGAGCAATTGAGAAAGAATGTGATTTCAAGCTTCGTTAAGTCTAAGGTCTTTAATAATTCACAACCCTACATAGAAATCGTGAGAACTCGTTAAGGTAGAGAATGAATCGTTTTCATTTCTACTGAAGAGTCAATTAGTTTGTGAACCTGGGTAGTATAATTGGAGTTAATAAAAATTAACCAAGCGCTTAAAACATTACGGTGGGTGAACCGTTTAACACAGGCCGAGCTGTATTGTATTTTGTATTTTATTTTTACTCCATCCTATAGATAATACATTAGTTGTACAATATCAATAAGTACAAGGTTGATTAAACTACGTGTAGATAATAAAAAAAAACAAAGTTAGAAATGAGAAGGGCACATTATAGTAAACTAATAATTATGGCCCTTTAACAGGATTGATTTTATTCTAATATAGCTTTGTTATTCATTAAAACACAAACACGAACGCACACACACGCGCACAGAAGTCAATATTAAGCAAGATAATATTTTTTAAGTGCCTTTTTGAAATTTTCGATGATTTATTGCGAATAGAAAGGGGGAGATCGTTCCATATTCAAATAAAAGACACCAACACGAGAAACTAAATTACTTAAACACACAAAAAAACTATCCAGCTTCAAAAGACGCGGCCATCATCATCGCTGGCCGCTGATGGTACAGAAATACAGCTGGTGTATTTCTAGATCATGCAAAGGCATCTGATATGGTAAACCATAAGATTCTGCAAGAAAAGCTTGAACATCATGGAATTAGAGGTGTAGGGATTACCTTACTAACAGAAAGCAAATTTTAAAATACAAATCAGGCAACTCAGACAGTTTAACAATTAAATGTGGGTACCACGGGGATCAGTGCTAGGACCACTCCTTTTTCTTATTTATATCAATGACAATTATGAAAGCTCCAGGATTTTATCATTTATTTTTTTTGGCAGATAACACAAATTTATTTCATAGTCACTGTGGTAAAAACCTAAATAATCTGCTCAACACAATTGATAAGATTAAATGAAACAATTGATAGGATTAAATGAAATTACCCTGTGGCTTTCAGTCTATAAATTATCTTTGAATATAAATAAAACTCACTTCACAATATTTAAGACAAAAAAGAAAAGACAACGAAGGATATATAATAATAATAATAATAATAATAATAATAATAATAATAATAATAATAGTAATAATAATAAATGTTATTTAGCCAGGGTTACCTCCTCTTCAGCATAAAATGCTGATATCAATGAGGGTCCTGGAAAAAATCTATATAACTAGCCAAATTTACAGTAACCAAAAATATATTAAAAGTTAAAAATACAACAATATTTAAAAAAACATTTTAAGCCAAAATACACAAATTAAAGTACACTTAAAGCCAAACTGATAAAAACTTTTCAAGTAACTAAAAAGCTTTTGATCTATGTAATGCCAAAATACGAGTTTTAAAAATTACAATTGACGTAAAATCCTTCATTACACTTGGAATATTATTAAAAAGTTTCGATTCATTAAAATAAAAAGACTTCCTTGCCGTCTAAGTTCTGACTTTGGGGAGCAGCAAGTTCTGCCTACTTCCCTTCGTTAGTAAGATGTCTCATCAGAAATATCTTAAACTGGACAGGAATAATAGCTAGAGCTAGGCATTACTTGTCTTGCAAAAGTGCAGTCACTATCTATAATATATTGATTTAGTATATACTAAAACAGTGGATAGTGTTTTTCGCGCGCTCTGATTGGCTACTCAATCAGTGAATATCCTGCACTATTCACTGATTCACCTCCGGTTCCTCCGAGCGAGCGACGCCAAACTCGTGTAGGTTGCGAGCAAAATGCTTTCCCGGTTTGCTGCCGTAACAAACTAAGAAATTTCGCAACTAATCAAGCAAGCTATTTCCGAAATACATGAAGAAGGTGACGAAGTTCGGTTTGGAAGTTTTAACAGGTAAAGCTTTGTCTTTTTGTCTCGAATAGTTATCGACAAAACCGGTGAAAAAGTTTTTTGTTTACAAACGCACATTAAGCTTAAGTCTTGCGTTACTTTATTTAGTTGACTTGTTCATAAATAAGCTTAAAACTAAATTTAATAATCTTTTTTACAGAATTATTTTAAATACAAACAGAATTCACAACTCCTTTTGAAGAAACTTCAGGAGAGTCCCCGAATCCCCGGCCGATCGATCAACGACTGGTTTCCGCTCACCCGAGTTAATTTTGCATGCGAACTTGCCGTGTTTTCTTTTCCTTTTTTTTTTTTTCACTGATCCGGTGACCGTAATAGGAGACATCACTATTTACAAAACGAAGTAAAAGAAAAGAAGCTTTTGTTTCAAGAACCAATGCACCTCTGGTTGGCACATTAATATCAGTAGGTGATGTCATAGTAGATATTGCTATAATGGTCATAATGCTAACATGTTTTTCATTATAATACATATTTAAGAAAATAATTGGTCAATAAACAAATTGGCGCCAAATCCCTAATGTTTTGTTGCGTGACAGTTTATAGTTTTTTTTTAAGGACACGTTTAGCATGAAGTGGGATCGGTTGTTTCTTACTGACACTTTTAGTACCGTTTTTATGGGCTTAATGTATCTGTTGACACTGGAATCCTGATACGAGTGAGTTTATTTTTGTTTAGTTAAAGTCATTAAACTGATGTGCTGGTCTTGGATTTATAGTCGCATTTGTTCGTCAAAAAAACTGAGTTGATTTACCTCGTGGATGCCCCGGGGGAAACTCCCCGGGGTGGATGCACAGGTGGCCCAAGCACAATTTAGTAGAACTGCAAGCCATATTGGGTGGTATTGACAGAGGCTACTTAAAGTCTACCAGAGCATGATTGGCGAGTTGCATAGGGATGAACAAAAGTAGTAAGTTTAAAATATTCATTGAAACAAGAAGGTAACAGTTTACGTGACCACTCACAAACAAAGGAAAGTACTTGCAATTTAGTAATCTTATTGATCTGAGGTTAAGTAAATTAAGAGATTTGAAAAGAGGCTCCCAGTGGGGTCTACTGTAGGGTCTGCGAAAAATGAATCTAATTGCTTTTTTTCTGGATTACATATAGAGGTGACAAAAACGAAGGAAAACTTAAGCCCCAAACATGAACACCATAAACAAGAAAAGGATAAATTAGAGAGTAATGAAGCATGAGGAGAATATCTCTATTGACAAAATGTCTCACGTCAATGTCTCAAGATGCCTACTGTTTTTGATAGTTTCTAACAAAGTTGATTAATATGACTTTTCCATGTTCAGTTGGAATCAAATGTTATGCCTAAGTACCTTGCAGAGCCAACTTGTTTAATACGTACATCTTCAATTTTAATACAAAAAAGAGTGATTAGGCTCACGTTTATTGGAATGAAAGAGAATAAAATTAGGTTTAGAAATACTAAGTACTAATCGATTTAACTTCATTCATTCAGCAAAAGATGTAAGTTCCTGATTTAGTGCTTTTTCAAGATGACGTAGGTTTTTGCCGGGGAAATAAAGGTTAGAGTTATCAGCAAACGAATGAAATGTTAATAAGCTGGAAGTATTAAGCAAATCATTCACATATAACAAGAATAAATGTGATCCTAGAATGGATCCTTGTGGAACACCACAAGTCACAGGTAAGGAAATCGAGTTATGACCTTACAAACTGCTCTTTTTGGTATAAATAAGATTTTAAACCAATCATGCACAACACCTCTTTTTCCACAATGCTGAAGCTTAGTTAATAAAATTGTATGGTTTACAGTATCAAAAGCTTTTTACAAATCTATAAATACGCCACAGCTAAATTCACCATTATCAATGGACTGATGAATAGATTCAGTGATAGAAATAAGTGCATGGGTTATCGAACATTTGTCCCTGAAACCAAATTGAAGTGGGTAGAGTATTATTAACTTCTCCAGAAACCAATAGAGGAGTTGATACAATGAACGTGCTAATTTTAATTTATCAGGAAAATTGCCACAAGTAAAGGAATCACTTATTAAAAAAGCTTGAGGCTGAGATATACAGTCCTTAATAGTTTTTAAAATAGTAGCAGGTACACTGAAAGGAATAAGAGTCCCGATTTCATGCGGAATGGCAGGGAATTAAAAGAAAGATTCAGCAAAATTTCCCCTCAGATAAAATGAGGGGCTATAATTTCCCTGGGGTATTCCCTTCTCAGTAGTCTTACCAACCTTAGCAAAAAAGTTATCAGCAACATCATTAGGGTTACTTGCATGCAAATTATCCAGCGGAAGGATTGTATGGCCTCGCAAACATATGTGAGGTGTTGTGTTACAACGATTGGTCGGAGATTATAAAGGTTTGTATGGGATCGCGACTGATTTGATTAAAAAAAAAAAGAAAGAAAGAAAGAAATAACGTTAACTTTTGAGTGGAAAATGTGGAGAAGGTAAATCGTCGAGATCGGCAGATTGGCATAGATCGGCAGGAAAACAAAGTGAATAAAAGATGGGGAATACAATATCGAAAGGCGGTAAGTTAACTTTTATTCAAAAATTAGCGTTCTTTCTTTCTTTTTTTTTTTTAAATTAAATCAATCGCGATTACATATAAAGGTGTACAAACCTTTATAATCTTCTAACCGACGGTTGCAACACAACGCCTCACATATGTTTGTGAGCCCATATAATTAAGAAAACGAGAGTACCCCGCCGGCTGGGAACCAATTATTTTTAATGCTATTTTACTTTTGACATTAACTTATGGCTCTGAAATTTTCGACCAAATACAAATAGTTTCACGTTCATCTTTTAAGTTTTTCGCAACCGTGAAATGTATCCAGGTTTCCACCAGGCCTTTTATCAGTTGGAAATTCAAACCATTTTTTTCCAAACATGCCAGCTAACTCCTTCTTCCAGTTGCTAGGAACAAAAAACAGAAATCCTTCGAATTCCATAAGCTTGAGAGGGTAGACCGACCAGCTTACACTTGGGTTGACGAAGATATCAACCATTAAGCCATCGTGCCATCTGCAATTGAATGCCTTGCAGTATCTATAGCAACTATTCCTGTCCCTAAGTCTAGGGTTCCACACTCGTTCATAAATCCCGACAATTTTGTGTTGATGTAATCCATACGTTTTAACTTCCTCGTCTTTGGGTTGGAGCGCAGGATCGCTGACCACGTTTTGGAAGAAAATATCTTCGGGGAGTTCCTTTGCTACAGATTGAAAAAAAGTTATATAATCTTCTAGAGGCATGAAAATGTCTACATCATCATCCCAAGGAATAAACCCTTTATGTCTGGCGGCGCCCAGTAAAGTTCCATGCCCAAGCCAGTACGTTAGGTTGTGCTTCTCAGCGAGTAGATGGAAGACACGCAACATTCGTGTCATTACAAGCTGTGCTTGTCGCGTAGTGGTCTTTGTTTGCTGGCGAATGTCGGGACAGTACAATGCTCCATTGATCAAGTCGCATCTCCCGCCGAGTTCTGTGTATAACTTAGGACACATTTCGCCCCAGTCAAATTGAACATCGCAGTGCTTTCCCGTACGATTAGAGTAATAGCGCTCTACGATCATCAGCTTCCGTTTTCTTGCACGAAATAAGGAGGAAAATGACTCGATTTCAAAGGTAACAATCCACAGAAGATACGTCGCCGTCGAAACAAGGATAAACAAAAGTAGGACGCCAGACTTTCTCATAGTGCTCGATCACGTCTACAGAGCCACCATATTATAGACAATGGAAGGGCTAGTAATCGCATCCCATGATTTGTTTTACGGGAAAGTTCTTAATCTGTCACCTATTAATAAAATTAACGTGCGAACGGTCACGCAAAACGTTATGCAGCCGTCCGTTGCTAAACAAAAAAGAAAGCACACTCACATACACCCACCCAAACAGAAAAAGAGAAAAATAGAAAGCAGATAAAGAAGAAGAAAAAGAAAAAGAAAAAGAAAAAGAAAAAGAAAACAACAGGAAAAATTCTCTTTTATTATACCTATATTCGAGTGGTAAATTATTCTGTTTTCTCTTATCAAGGTGTCAGACTGTCATTAAGGACACAGGCAATCTGACACCTTGTGTACATTCCGACTCGTTAATTAACATGTACCTTTTACTCTGGCTACTAAACGTCCATGCTGACCTGTAGATATAAAATTCATTTTAATCAGTGTGTAAACAAAAAAACAGAGACAGAAAAAAGAAGAGAGAGAAACAAGAAAGAAAGAAAATCTTGGCACTGGCAGAAGGATCTTTCATTACTGCTTAGACTGCTTAAAATATGTATCTTAAGACTTACGAGGTAACATTCACTAAAATGAGCTTTGTCTCTATAGATTTATAAACTATTTATCCAGAAAAGTTGCTTCTACTATATCATTAGCGATGTGATGATTGATGACAGTTCAGTGCTCGTGCAGGTGAAGTTGATTGCTAATAAAGTATACTTAAGTATCTAATTGCAAAGCACTGTTTCCATTACCTCGTTCAAGTAATAACTCAGCTTTTAACAAGAAAGCAAAATGGAAATCCAGTTTGCTTTGCTCAGGGTAACTAGCTCAGGGTATTTACCTTCGAGCTAATCAAACTGGGCGCGCGTTTATACACTGGATTGGTATTCTACTTTAAAACGATGTGCATTTCACCCTATAAAAACACTTCTGAAACACTAAAATCGTATGACATAAAGCATCGCGACGTAGATAAATCAATATGGTGATGAGCCTTTAGGTTAAAACCAAACGGGCACTTGACAAAGTGCCAATTTTTACAGATTGACCACCAGATCACCCTTCACGCATGCACTGCTCAGTACAATTTTCATTTATGGTGACTAGATCCGTAACAAAATAAAACTAGACTTATCAATTGACTAAAGATACTTTACGTCTACATACACTAAACAAAACTGATGAGACCATTTTTGGTTCACGAGGCCATAAATTAAAATGATGAAAATGGATTGGATAAGTGTGGCAGAGTACAGCATTCCATAATGGCGTGCCACCAAAAACCAAATCTGCAGTGCAATCCTCATGCAATTCCGAAAAATGTATTATTAGAATAAGTTATTCAAATTGGTGCTTCTTAGCCTAAATTGTAATGTGAACTGCCTTGGAAACACACACGCATGCACAAAACAACAACAGCAACGACAACAAAAATACAAAAAACAAAAAAAAAGGGTTTTAAAAATAAATTGATGAGAAACATTGAACCGCAACATTTAACAATACGCTGGCAGTGATTAAAAGTTGGCCTTACGTAATAATTAGATTTAGCTACTCTCCTTCTAACACTCGCCCCGTCAGTGATCTAATAATATAAGGTGCCTCCCACCCGGGCCTCCCTTCGAACAAGGTTTTGTTAAGCGCCTTAATTCAGTAACAACTTCAATAATCACTCCTCTTCTGTTGCATTTTAGTCACCTGAGTACATTGAGTATTCCGGCTTCTTTAAGTTGATTATACAAAGCCGCATTACAGAAACAGTGAACTTCGTCTGAGTTAGTTTCTTTTCCAGAATTAACCTGCGACCCATCCGCCGACTTTTAAAAGCTCCTAACCGCAGAAAAAAGAAAGGAAGAAAAACAAACAAAAATAGACAAAGATAAATGAGATGTGGTGACGCGTGGCTTTTCCCCCTTGTGATGTG